GAAGTATTTCAGGTGTTAAGAGGCCAAGCCCCATGGCACCTCTGTGGATTTTAACAGCCTTGCTTTCTAAACCAAGAACTGAGATGGAAAGAAAGGATTTTTTAAAAGGTCTTTCTGGCAGAACCTGGGAGAAGGATCCCATGGATTCCTCCAGATTCTGTTGCCTCACAAAAAATTGGAGAGAAAAATGCATACTTATGCTCCCAGTACACAATGTGCTGCAACTACACCACTGTGCAGCACTGGCCATTAGGCCATACAGGTAACATGGAAGACAGCAAGTAATTAATAGCAAAAAGAAAAAAAAAAAGAAAAAAAAAGGCAAGCTTCTGGTCAAAAAGAGCTGGTTAATATCAGCCATTCGAGCCTTAAGATCTTTTCGAGCACCAGTTTCCCACTAAAGGCTCAACTGCAGTCCTGTAGTCAGAGCCGGCCTGCGTGGTGCTGCCACAGGGACGATGCATCGGCCCCTGGGTGATCAGAAACCAGCTGCCCATTTACCCACACTGGCCCCTGAGCTCTTTGCCCAACTGTGCTCAGCAGCGTTTGGCGTGGGAGTGAGCAGTGCTCTCGGCCCTCTGGAAAGGGTGGCTAAAGGAGAGGCCTTCCCGTACGCTTTCTCACCCCCTCAGCCTGCCCACAGGGCAGCCAGGCATCAGGATGGAAAGCCTGGCCGAAACGGAGCAAAAAGGTGCATGAAACCTCGCTGTGCTGTTTCCGTTGTGCCTGCTGCGCCACGGCTCTGTCCTCACGTGGGAACCTGCAGTGGCAGCTCTCGTTTGTGCTGTGCTTCGCACTTCACCCTGGACGTGCCTCTTCAGGCTGTTCCAAAATGAGTCAAGGTGAAACAGCCTACAGGGCTGCACACCTCACAGGCGTGTTTTAGCTGCGTCTGTTGCCTCCACTGTAGGGCAAAGGAGGGGATACGAAACTTGAGTGTGGTGTCAGGTTCAAGGCTGGTTCTGGCTCTATAGGAAACAGTTGAACAGTCTTGGGGGACCAACAAAACTGGTCTTCCAAAGACCAGTAATCTTGTGTTCGTGTGTGTGCACACATCTATGTATGTGCTTGGACATAATGTGCCCACATCTGTGTATGTGCTTGGACATAACTATGCGATGACACAGGCTACTCCAAGTTTAAAGTACCCCATCAACCCCTTTTGCTGTACTTATTCCATCAGTGCAGCAGTGTAAAGAACGAGAGAGTGGATTTCTTCTGCAGACCTGATGGTTATCAGCTTGTGCCCCAGGGCTTACAAATTGGTCCCTCTCAACCCTTATAACCTAGCTAGGGTAACAAGTGCTGTAAAGAAGCCTTCAGGTGAGGAATAAGGGAGCACAAGGAAAAGAGTATTAGGATACCCATGTTCCAGTCTGCGGCATTCAAAACATAAGCATGACCTGTGCTGCCCGTGTAATGGGTATGGAGCAATCAGATCATAAGCACTTCTATAACTTTTGCATTGTGCAATCCCGGAGCTGGCAAAAGGCAGACCAGGCAAAACACTGGACTCTCTGGGCCGTGTGATGGGCCAGTCTGTGAGGGCATGTGTGACTCTGGTTAACCTCCCTTCAGGTATTGATTCCATTAAGTTTTTGTTGTTGTTGTTTAAAGCTACGGAGATAAGGAGACCAAGGCTGGGCATGTTTGCCAAGTTCTGGCCAGCAGAGGAGCGGGGATGAGAACCAAGTCTGACCCCTGAGTCAAAATTCAGACCCAAACTCCTGGCCCTGCCGGCTGCTGAGGGGGTGGCCTGGGGGCAGCTGCTCCATGGGCACTCACAAACCTTCTTGGTCATGGCAGGCAAAGCTCCATCCTCCTTCTGCAACACGGCCCTCGTTCTCCTGCCTTATCCTGCCTAATATCTTTTTTAGCTAAAGGCAGTGCAGGGAGCTTCCATGAGAATAAAAGTCATTGAGATTAGGAAGAGACCTTCATCCTCCACATTGGCCATGCCAATACGGGAGATGGAGAAGGGAAAAATGTAAAATGCAGGATTCAAAAATAAATAAGCAGTGTTCAGTTTTCTTCTATGGAGAGTGTAGGAAGGTATTTTCGAGACCAACTGATAGTTGTGTACAGTCTGCTGTAAAACCCCTTTGCCTGCCGAACCAACCCTCTCATGCCCTTGCTTTCCCCAACCCAAGTGCTTCTTTTTAAGAAAAGACAAAGAAGGTGGTAAACAAGTTTAGTAAATGGAGTACTGTGAGTGGAAGAATTGCGTCTGAGTGGCGGTTTCTGCAGCGCTTTGAGCACCGCTGCTCTGCACCCCCGGAGCAGCCTCTGGTGCTGAACGGACTTGACCTCGCAGAGCAAACAGGCGGGCAGCACAGGGAGGCAGCACGGAAAGGGATTTTTTGGAGACTTCCCAGGAAAGCGGCTGGGTGGGGAGGGAGGGCAATGAGAGCAAGAGGCAAACCATGTGGGGAAAAGCAGTTAACCTATTTTGCAGCACTTCATGTGTTCAAAACATAGTGCAAGCGTGTAATTACGCTATCACCCTATGGGTGGAGGGATGTGGCTCATCCGCCCCCTCTTCTTACCGATAGCCAAGCCGAATTAGAAAGTGTGTGTGCTGATTCAGCGTCACAGGCGATAACCAGAAATCAGGTGGTCTTATGTCACACTGATTTTTGGCTTTTCCATCCTCCAGCCCCCCCATTTTCTGTGCAGACTCGCTGTCCCCTCTCACAAGCTTCGGGGATGCTGCGGAAATGCCACAAAGGTCCGATTCACACTGTGCAACATCGTGGCTGTCTCAGGGTTGCCAGCGCTGCTCTCATCACTTGGCCCAGTCTGGGTAGCTTATTTGGCTGTGCTGGGTCTAGCGCTGATTAGCCTAACCTTTGCTTAGATGTGGCACTTCTGCCTAAGTGGTAGAGAAGGCAAAACGACACTGTCACCAGTACATGGGAAATGATGATCTGTGTTTGTACAGGGAATGAGTTATTCATTATGGTGTTATCTATAAGGCATGCAGATCATGTGAAGTTAACACACAGCTCTGCCCATGTGGGCCTGATTTTCCCAGTGATGTTTGGTTTGTTTCTTGCCTCGTCTTGTGAAGTGCACATCTAAACTGCAGTTGGGTTTCCATACCTGTGGTGTTCCTCCTGGCTAATCCTTGTTTGTATGGCTTGGCAAAGGGGGAGGAGGATGGAGGCAAAAGTCACTCATGAGCATTTCGAGCACTCCTACGATTTTTTTTAAAACCCTTTTGTAAGTTATGGTGGGATTGCATCAGGTCTGAAATCTTTCTCCTTAACCAGTCATCACACCTACAGGCAAACTGAATGCTGACCAGCAGTGGCCTGAGGACTGGAGGGTGCCTCCTGCAGGAATAACTTTCTGTTCGGCAAAAGATGAACCTCACTCTGGCCTTTTAGATGATGGTTTGCATCTCTCAGAGCAGATCTACACCTCACCCCAGGCCCTCCAAAAAGAAGGGAGCTAAAGAAAGCACTGAGCAAAGTAATCAGCCTTTCATTCAATAGGAGGAAAGAGAATTTATGTTCTTTTCAAATAAATAAGTGCTACTTCTTCTTTCTCTGCGGCATGTAATACAATACAATGCTACAGAGGCAGTGAAAAGCTGGTGGAAATTCTTGCTGCTGCCACACGGACCTCCCTTCGTTCAGTCAGCTATGACCCTTTCTCAGGCTTGATCTCAGTTCCTTCCCTGACTCAGATCCAGTCCTGGGTACAGTTTTGGTTCTGGGACTTTCCAAAGCTGCTGCCTGGGAATCTGGCATAGCAGCAGACTGCAATTCACTGCATGTGACCTCTTGCTAAAACAGAAAAAAAGATGTTGGCTATCTGTAAAAAAAAAAAAAAAAAAAAAAAAAAAAAAAAAAGGGGGCAAAACAAAACACTACACATCTCCCAAGTTTCTTTTATTGCTTGGTAAGAGGAGGGTAATCAGATCTCATTGAATGGTGTGCCAGGAAGGAAATTTCTTCCCATGTGCAGCATGCAATCAGCCAGGTGCAATATGAGGAAGGGAGGTTCGTCTTCCTCTGAAGCATAAGATATTTGCCACTGCCAGAGGCTGTGTACCAGAGATCCGATCAGATATGGCAAATTTTATGTTCCTATGCACAGTGTGAAGCTTTCATTTCTACGCAACACATTGTAACAAGTCAAACAATGAGTCATCTCACAAGGGGGAAGAGGAAAGAAAGCTTTTATCTCCCTGTGGACAGCAGATAATCTGTCTACCTAGGTATAAACAGCTCTTCACCGCACTGTCTTCTCTCCGGGGGAAGGAAGCGATTTCAAATTTGTAAAACAGATATTGAATTATCGCACCTCCCTGGTCTCTGCCTGGGACCAGGAAAGGTTCACAGGCAAGAGATCTTCAGCTTTCCTAGTAACTCAGATGAGGCCATGACTACATGGTCTAGGCTGTGTGTGCACACCAGTGTATGCTGATAAAGCTGGCGGGGAGCAAGGGATTGCCACCTTTTCCATGGAGTCCCAGAAAATCATTCTCTGCAGTCCTCACCTGCCTAGAGGGAAGAATGGCCATGTGTCCCTTGCATTTGACTGTTTTTTTTAATTCTTCTTTATTCCTGTATAAGAGGCATGCAGGGAGAAAGCTCCTGTGTTCTGTCAGAAGATACTCACCCAGGATGGATGGGGCTGGGGACTTTGCCTCCTGTCTATGCCTCAGAAAGAGAAGCTGGGGAAAATGGGGAAAGTCCCATTTCACACTGGAGACTTGGAATGAAATAACAGCCCGAAAGCTTTTCTCAGGATGCAGAGGCAGTCCTTGTTTTCCAAAATGTCTCAGATGATAAACCAGAATGCCTTGTCAGCCTAAGTTAATGAAATATTTCACAGTCTGTTGTTCACACTAACCTTGCACTTAACATTCCCTTCCCACAGCTTGCCCTCAAATTCAGGGCCCATTGTGGAGTAGGGGCAAAAGGGGAATTTGTTGATGTTTTACCTGTTTTGTCTCAGCTCTGTAACACAAGGCTGGTCTCTCCCTGCAGGTCTGCAGCCCGTGTACTGGAGCCGGGACGATGTGGCACAGTGGCTCAGATGGGCGGAGAAGGAGTTTTCCTTGAGGCCCATTGAGAGCAACACCTTTGAGATGAATGGCAAGGCTCTGCTGCTTCTGACCAAAGAGGATTTTCGATACAGGTCTCCTCATTCAGGTGAGGATTACTTGTAGATGCTGTGGTTGAAAGAGAGGAAAAGAAGCAAATAAAATGGAGAAGGACTCATATTTGTTAGGGCAGATGGGGCAGTGGGGAGGGAAGCCAACCTTATACAAGGCAAGGTGGAAAAGGACGAGTTGGAGATAGAAATCCAGATTTTCTTAAGTTTTAGGCAGATTTGAATCTGAATCCAAGCACAAACATCTGTCTCCTTTCTAGTTAAAACTCCCCACAGAAGAGGAAGCTGCTCACACAGTGCTTTGTGACTTGCAGCTCTTTCCTGTAGAGGCTTATCTTTTTGCAGACCCAACTACAGCAGCAAGTTAATCAAGTGCTCCAGCCTCTTAAGAAGCCCCAACTAACATGCTGCTTCGCAGTCCGCTTGACTAGTGTGCTGCTAAAAGTGACTGCCCCACTCATCCTGTGGGAACCCTTCCTCTGCTCTACAGCCCCCATGGGCTTTACTTTTCCAGATTTTCTCAGGTGCTAGAGTCCAGCCCAAGGTGGGTGAATCAATCTGTGTATTGCCCAACTTACATCTCCATTTGTTCGCAAGGAAGATTTGGAAACATGTGTTGCCTGCCTGTATTTATAACACCTGCACTCTCTCTCCTTCAGCTGTACAGTCAGAATAAGTCTCTGCACCACTTTGTCAGGGGTGTTTAACTAAATATGAGCTATTGATTCTAAGTAAGAGTTGTGAGCTTTCCTTTCATGACCATACAAGGTACTCCTGTTAAATACAAAGGCAAGTAATTCAATCACTGTAGGTGATCAAAGAGTTTGGACCAAGCACTTGCAGAGTCGCTGTTAAAAGACTCCCGGCACAAGGTTTGCTAGGTGCAGAAATACAGCTGGTGCTGCATCCCTGCAGCCATCCCCCAGCAGAATCTGCTTCACAGACTGGCTTATGTTTACTATATACAAGGTTTATAAAAGCATGTGTTTCAAATCTGGGAGTAATTTTGCATGGTAGGAGATGCCGAACATTAATGTCTATCACCAATGTAATGCAGTAGCAAAAACTGATGCCTACAAACACCCTTTTTTGTTTAATTCTGACACTTCATTTTGAAGTATTTCATTACAAAGTTTGTCCTGCTTAAGGCAAAAGGAATACTGGAAGCAGGGAGGTAGGAAAGGACTGTGAAGGACAACTTTTTCTCTCTTATTTGCAACTCTGCTTATCACTACAGTGCCTTACCGTCTATGAGTTAGGCCCCTGCTCTTCCCTATGTGTGCTGTGAGAACGCTTGAAATGAGTAGAATGATGTGTGCAGGCTGGAGATAGAGCATTTCCAGAGAACTTTTGGCCTGCAAGTGCACATCTGAGGTGGCAAGCTATGCTCTTATTTACCAAAATTTGGGTTTAAATGATCAAACAAAAGGCCTTCTCCCTTTCATTTTCTCTATTTTCCTTCTCCAGGGATTCCTTACCAGTGAGAAGCCTTTTAGAGGATATCTCAATTAGTTCCTAAAACATTTAGGGGACTTTTGATAACAGGATACCATTTCCCGCAAATTAACTATATGTGACATTTAAGAAGAACTATGAAATAGTAGTTGCCATAGAAGTATTATGAAGTTTTTCAAAGCTATATCGTCGTAAAAGCTTCCTGTTTTCCACTGCTGGTTAAAACAGCAGAACTGCATCCACTCCCCCCAGTGGCTCTATCAATAAAGTGGGCTTGGAGTCCACAGCTGCTCTCCTGTTCAGGGCTGGCGAGGAAGGTGGGCAGAAGCAGGGAGGGAAAAAGACTTTTCCCTCCTTTGCTACTATCTCTGCATCCTTGTGGTGCATGACTGTAGCTGTTTCGGTAAGTTAAAAAAAAAAAAAAAAAAAAAAAAGACAGCTTCATGGATGTTTTCAGTAGTTTGTTGGGCCAAATCAAAGGAGGTACAAATTTGCTGCCTTATTGCTTGCAGTGTTACAGCACTAGTTATGATAATGCCACTAGTGCACTCAAAGATGCAAATTATGTGGTAAAATCACTTTTTAGCCTTTCATGTACTAAGCATGGAAAAGGTAACCAGGTTCTCGAGGCTTTGTTTTTAATTAGATTTTCAGGTATTGCAATCACCTTTTAAAAATGCCCTAAAGTCACCAGTGAGACAGGAAAAGCAGCCAAGGTAGTAAAAATAAAGGAAGCTGAACTATGGAAAGCAGAATGGCTTTAACTATTTCACACTAAGGCACTAAAATACTCCACAAATAGAACATTGGCAGTTTATAGAGACAAGCACCAAATGGCACACACAGCTTACGGTCTCACAGAAACAACTGCTAAGAGACCTCTCCACATGTGAGAAAACTCTCACAGAAAATTCAAGTTTCCTAGGTGAAACTTTGCTGAATTAGAAGTCCCTTTTCAGAGAATGTGCGAGTGGTTTGCTTTTCTGTATGCGAGCAGTGGTAAACAGAGGAGAGCAAGCAGCATTAAAAGTTGGAAGACTTCCCGCTTCATGTCCTACTCTTTCATTTTGAAGTGTGCAACCAACCCCATGGTCAGACAAAATATGTAAGTACCTACGTATTTCATGTGAATTTGCTAGAAGCAGGGCATCAGTACAAGGAGTAATGGGTAATAAGATACAAGATAAGGAATTAATCCATTGGTCTCCTTGATATTGCAGTGATGTTTTCCACTGATGAAGGATATGACAGTTTTGGTGCCAGGGAATAGGGGCAAACAAGAAACAGCCTGCTTGCAACTGTAAAAGAAACAAGCATCAGCCCGACACCCCTTGGATCAATTTGTACAGGAGCATGTCAGCTCGGTGCTATATGATTCTTTGCAGACATTTCAGTGAAAGTGTGATGAAGTAGCAACTAACAGACTGTGTTTGCCCAGCCAGAGCACCACCTCCACTACATCTTGTTCTTTAGTGTGCATGACATCCATGTGATAATATTGCCTATTGCAGTGATCTCCATACAGGTTCAATTATCTAGAAAAAAATAGCTTTGAGATCCCATTTGGTATTTTTCTTAAGTCTAACCCTGGACACCAGGAGTGAAGTAAATAAGTTCCTAAAGCAGCTACAGTAGCCAGTTATCTCCAGTTGTTGTCTTTCGTGGTAGTTAAATCGTGGTAGTTAATAATTCTAAGCATTTGATTCCATGTCGAAGTAACTTGTCAATGTGAGGGATCCTGCTCCTACGGATTTTGCTAGAATGGAGTATCAGAGGAGCACACTGCCACTGCCCAAGAAACCCTTGGGGCATGGCTATCACGTGGACAGGCATTCATTTCTGCAGCATCTTCTTTCTCCTCTCTCCTGCTAAAGCTTCAGTAATTAAAGAAGAGGACCAATATTGCTCCCAGCAACTCACTGTATAAGTGTGGGTTTTGCATTTAAGAATTTTATGTCCCAAAGTGTCTATATAAAAAAAAAGGAGCCGTGATAAAAGAAAGTGGGACATTGGACTAACTCTTAGTTGTAAAGATTTGGATGGAACCCTAGGATACTGAAAAGGCTGAAAAAGCTTGGTATGAAGGTAACAGAAGCAATTTCTTGCCATTTTCCCATTTTTACACATTTATACACAGGAATGTGACATGCAGCTTTTAAGAGCATCACAGAATGGTTGAGGTTGGAAGGAACCTCTAGAGATGACCTAGTCCAATCCCCCTGCTCCAGCAGGGACATCCAGAGCATGTGGCACAGGGTGACGTGTAGAGACAGGGTGATGTGTAGAGAACCCACGCGGGTTCTCTACAGAGAAGGAGACTCCACAACCTCCCTGGGCAGCCTGTGCCAGGGCTCTGTCACCCTCACAATAAAGAAGGTTCATATTCTCTTCATATGGAGATGAAACTTCCTGTATTTCAATTTATACCCTTTAACCTTTGTCCTATCACTGGCCACTGCTGAGAAGAGTTTGGCCCCATCTTCTTTACATTCTTCCCTCAGGTACTTACACATACTGATCAGATCCCTTTACAATCTTCTCTTCTCCAGGCTAAATAGGCCCAGCTCACTTAGTCTTTGCTCATCAGATAGATGCTCCAGTCTCTTAATCATCTTTTCTTTACTTTGCCTTTTTTTTTACCTTTCAGAGAGGAACCTTGTGAAACAGTGAAATACAGGATTTTACCGCAGGCATTTTTGGATCTGAAAATAGCACCCAGGAGCCATGAATTCATGCATCAGATGACTAAATGAGTCTTCTCAGCAGTATGTAGGTTTTCATTTCCTTTTTTCCTGCTGTTTGTCTTTCAGGTGATGTTCTGTATGAACTCCTTCAGCATATCCTGAAGCAGAGGAAAGCTCGTATGCTGTTCCCACCTTTCTTCCACCCTGGGAACTCTCTTCATGCTCAGCCAGAGGTCATATTACACCAGAATCATGATGAAGGTAACTGTCTTATTCTTATGGGAGCTATCATTAGAGAGGCAATTTGGGTATGGCTGTGAGGAATTATTCCAAATTTACTTAAACAAAGCTACACTCCTTCCTTCAACTCCATAGCTGTTAGAACAATCAGATGGTGCAGCAAGAGGACTGGCCATTCTCTGTTTGCCTTCTGTTATTTTGTCATGCTTCCAAGGCCCATTTAAAAGCTATACCAGATACAGATTTTTAAAAGTAACAAAATTTCTTATCGAGCCATTGTTTCACTTTTCTTTATTCCTCAATGTGTAGACACAGACTTCTGGTGCGCTGGAGAGGCAGTGAGATGCAGTTGCTTGCATGACAGGGGAAAGGCAGCCTCAGAGAGGAATATCTAACTCTTAAGTCGTTTCACTGATAATCTGTCATCACTTCAGGCCCAGAGTTGAAAGTCATCTTGTTGTTCAACTTTTCAGTTCAGTTGTGCAGTTCATTTTGAGAAGAGTTTTTCTCTGCTTGTTTGTTCTTTTAGACTTAAATATTTCTTACCAGAAATATTTTGTTAGGTTTTTAGTTAGCCCTTTAGTAGTGCCACAGGTGGTGAAGAAAGTGCAGAGATGTGTTTGTGCACTGTGGCTTTGATATTCTTCCATTCTTTGTAAGAGGAGACCAAAGTATTTTTCCTTCAGTGGAAAACGAAGGGTTTTTTAATTTTTTTTTTCATTTTGTTTAAGAAACATGCTGAAACATTTTTCTCTGGGAATAGAAAGATATGAAGCCTAAGGCTGTTAAAAGAACAGGTATTTACCATGGAAGTGGTTTTTTTTTTTCAATAAAACAAAACAACAAAAAAAGGATATTCTTTCTTTGTTTTTCAGTAAAGATGAGAACAGAACATTTAGAATATTGTCCTAGTCTCTGCTCATTGGAGAAAACTATCTCAAAATTCATCATGGGATCACAAGACAGGATTCGAGAGTACTGTCAGTCCTGTAAAGGGAGATCATACCCAGGCTGAACAAGCCAGAGTCAAAGGGCATGAGCAAAACTCTTAAGAGTAAGCCAAGAATAAGACAGCAGCAGGGAGGATAAAGATACTCTTAAGTACTCTCACACAAGTGTATAAATATTTCAAATTAGAAGAGGGTGCTGCAGGCCAGTATGAGCTTGAATTGGCAGAGCTGTGACAGAGAAAGTAGCATGGTATATTAAAATCGACACTTTGTGGAGGCCATTACAAAGGCTTCCATTTTTCCCCCCAAGCTTGGTGTTCACCCACAAGTATTCCCTTCCCAAATTCCAATAAAAGTGCTAGAAAACTTTCCCTCAAAGAGGATTGTGCAGGAATGTTGAGATAACCCTACATGTGCATCACTACCAATGACTGGCAGTCTTCAGCAATCTAGTCCAAACTCTGTCAGAGCACAGGAGGATTAAGGAACAGCTCTGATTTCTTCTTCACAATCATCTGCTCTGATAGTATGAATAGTACAGCTACAAATAGTACCTCTTCTTTTTCTTAGATAACTTAATTATCAAATTAATAATGACAAAAAATAGTTCTTGTTTTGCCACAAGAAAAGCTTCAAAATAAGCAGTCGGCAAAGATGACAGCTAGCCTGCTGCAGACTCAGAAAACTTCCATTCCAAGAATTTATAGGCAGGTGAATTTATTTATTTATGTACTTTGACATTCTTTCTTCTTCCTGTTTCACATCATCACTTTAGAGAAACTAGCATGGTAAAGTTTACTATTTGCCCTCAAGAGAATTCAACTTAATAAAATAGAAGAATGAATGTGAGAGGGAGAACTTAACCCCACCTAACTCACAAGTGTAACAGAGGAGTCATTTTTTTTTTCTGTGGCACAGTTTTGAGTGCTAGAACTTCACAGGTGGGTTTTTTTTAATTCTTCCTTATACCATTGATCTTCTTCCATTTCCCTTTTCTGGCTCATTTGTCCATTTCTTAGTATATGGTCCCACTTTTGAATGCTTTCATTTTAAGTTAGTCAATCCAAAAGAGATGGGATGAACAGTTACATCTGGTGGCATTTACTTGCTTAAGCAAAGTGAATTTGACTGTTTCAAATCAGCTGGCAATGGATAAGGATATCTCCAAGATAGATGGATGAGCAATGGAGGCTGAATTATCCTACATGTCCAGTGGTTCTTCTTACTCAGCACTGAGTCATTTGATGGGATGCCATATCGGAAGCTTACTCTGTAGTTCCCAACACTTCTTTTATGGTTAAGCAGAGTGCCAATCTTTGGGATTAGCACTGCTCTGATGTGATTGCTCACTCCCAAGGGTGAAAGCAACCCCACCCATCCCCATATGGGCCAGATAGGTCAGCAGTTTTCCTGAACACTTTCCCTTTCACAGATTTCCCTTCAAGAAATGAATGTTGGTCACTTAGAATGAAGAGCCAGACTGATGAGTGCATATATTCCTGAAGGAAGTGATATACCATATGTTCTCAATTTACTGTAATCCAGTGTCCCATGGAATTAATCTGATGAGGATTTTATTCCATTCAGAACCATTCATGGCAGTGGAACAGCTGGAACTAAATTTAAATAGTATATGGTACACAGTGCCTTAGGCCTTGGGGTGAGGGAGATTTTTGGATAGATATTTGAAAGAGTCACTCGAAGAAAAAGATCGTGGAGGGAAGTAACCTTTGGTGTGCATCCATTTTTGGTTCTTCATCTTGTTGCTTACAAAAGGGCTCCATAATGCCTGTTCCCTCTGTATGGACTTCTCTTGATTCAGAATCACCATTGATTGAGAGCAGAAAGATAGGTGTGCTTCTCTTTGGAGCTATTCAGAGCCAACTAATGGGTACAGGCAGTTTGGAGAAAGCACAGCAAGGCCTAAATTGGACAAAAGAAAAGTCCCTGTAGTATTCTAGTGTGCACTTAAAGGCCAAGAATGAGCATGCTGCATTTGAACGGACAGTGATAGTATTGGATGGTCTGTAGAAGGTAGGATCTTCAGCCGAACTAGGGTATAGGTATGAATTTTTCCCACTTTCTTTCAATTCTAGCAAAGAAAGGAAACTTGAAAAAAGGACTGCCACGAAGGTGCAGCTGTAGATTAATCCTTCTTCTGTGATCATCTGGGCCATTATGTATTAGCTGGCCATATTGCATCTGAAGCCATTTGGGTTTAAACTAGAATAATATGTGGCACTGGAGTTTCATTTTCTCCAAATATTTCATTGTGAGTACCTCAAAAAGGTCTGCAAATTCATTTTTGTCTGGGACCACCAGTGTGTGCAGTATGTATTCCAGAGTCATGTATTTTCTGCCCAAACATTCAAGTTTTCCTGGCAGCCTTTAACTTCCTTGTATAGACAAGTAGCCTGTTGGGTAGATGTTTCATCACTGCCTGGCACTGCATTTTCTTAGGACTGCAGCGTTACCTTTTCATAGGTAGTGCTGATCCCTCTCTTGCTGTCTGCATGGATTCCAGGACAGGCTGTGAGCCTGTCTGCCTCAACAGGATCTTCAAAGTATATCACTACCTTGACAGAGAGCAAGAGATTTTTTTTTCATTAGGAGGATCAGAGGAAAATGAGCAAACAGGCAGCCACAAATAGGCAGCTACTTGTTTCAGTTGTTGACATGTACCCAAAAGTTTCCTTCTCTTATCACCGATGGCTTTCAACCAACAGCATTGAAATTTAATCTTTATTTTCTAGATAAAAAATATTAGTCATTGCTACTGGTGGTAGTTTCCTCTTTGTTAGTAATTCTCCCAGTCAAAAATGATGATCTTTGCTTTCCTGAAAGTTTACACTGTTTGTATTAAACAGATCTGGAGCCATGATTTGATCTTCTTCTATCTCTTAAGATCATGGCCAGAGAAACAAGTCCATGCAAAAGTGATACTACAAGTCCTGCTGCTGAAGAAATGTGTTTATGTAGGACAACCCATCAATAGGCAGCTCAGACTGAAAGCAAAATGTAATATTCTTGTGAAGATGTTACTTGCTCTTACAGTCAAGACTGTATGTAGAATTTAGCTAGTCTTCCACAAAATGCTTCCTACCACTGGGTTTTGCTAGATAGTCTGGATATCAGGGTAAGTTCCTCTCTGGTTTTCACCAATTTCTAGCATCTAGAACTCTCTGCCAAGTATTCACTTGATTTTCACTTTACTTTACTAGAGATCTCCGCCCTCTACCTTACCATGTTCATTGTGGTACAGTAACAAGAATCATACATACAGAGACACGAGTGGCAGAGGATATGTTATGAAGCACTTGCAAAGAAACAAAACTAGTATATCTAGATCAGACCTTACTTTCCTCATGTGTGTACCAGTCAACTGCTCAAAACAGAATTTCTCTTACCGCATTTTCCCCCGAACTATCATTATATGGTGGCAGAGGAAGGTTTGTTTTCCAGGTACTGATTTCCTTCTGCATAGTAATAAATATTTCCGTATATCTAGCATTTTTTCAAAGGATCTGTAAGTCACACAAACAAAAGCATTTCCAAGCTGACACCAATACCCAGGTAGTCCAGCTATCAGTCTTTATTCAGAGTGCCTTTTGAAAAGTTAGGTCCAACAGATTTATCACGACAGAGACAAATTGTATCTTTCATATTTTCTTCATAGATACCTTTGTCCAGAGGCCTTCAAGACCATCCACAGAAGCAGTCCACCACAATCCCCCAACCATTGAACTATTGCACCGTTCTAGATCACCTGTCACCAACAATCACCGTCCGTCACCAGATCCCGATCAGCGGCCACTGAAGTCCCCTATGGACAACACTATCCGTCGCCTCTCTCCTGCTGACAGGGTGCCAGGGACAAGGCATCAGCAGGAGAACAACCACCAAGAGCCCTATCCTCTCTCAGTGTCCCCAATAGAAAACAACCACTGTCCACCTCCTTCTGAAATGCTCCAAAAGCCTTCCAGCCCTCGTCAGGAGAACACCAGGGTCATCCAGCTGATGCCCAGTCCTATCATGCATCCTTTGATACTGAATCCCAGGCACTCCGATTTCAAACCATCAAGGTTGTCTGATGATGGGCTGCACAGGGAGGTAAAGCCAATCAACCTGTCCCACCGGGAAGAGTTAGCTTATATGAACCACATCATGGTGTCTGTCTCCCCTCCTGAGGATCATACAATGCCAATTGGAAGAATAGCAGGTAGGTGACACTCTCGACATTGAGGTTGAAGCTCCTCATTCATAACTTACCATGCCATATATTAATAATTTCTCATTTCCTTTTGCCACTCTGTGACCTCAGATTTACTGGCATTTTGCAAGTTTCATCACATCTGTGGTTTAGACAGTTAAGTAGAATTAAACGTGTTTCACGACAGGTAAGCAAAGATGTAGAGAGACCTCCTTATGACCACAGAGTGTGTAATTGGGATTGAACAACTTGTGACCTCACACTCAGTACCTTTCTACCCATTAGATATCCATTTGTTTTCTCAAGATTTTTAATTTCCGAAGTCTCCAAACTACCCCTGCAAGGTATGTCCAAGTGTCCTATTCACACTGGTGTCCGGTCCTATGGAAAGAAGAGCACTTTCTGCAAAGGCCTTTGAGAAAATGCAGTGGCAAACCCTTAATTATGATGATGGCATGATTAGTGAGATCTCACCTCAGAGACCTACTTTGTAGGCCCTCCTGTGCTTCTCACCACTAGGACTGTCCCTTTTTACGGAAACAAGGTTGCCTTTGTCCCACGCAAACCACAGACCTTGTCTCACTTTTGTTATCGTAAATAACTGACATCATAACAGCTGAATCAGGAAGCTGAGGTTACAGAAAATCTATTTTGTACTTGAAAGGGAACTGTAAATAGATTGGGAGTGGGAAAGGGAGAATCCAACCACTTCAGAAATATGCTGAAAGCCCCAATAAACAGTTTCTTTTCCGAGTCAAAACACCCAAAACATTCAATACATTCATGTCAGCAGCAAACTTAAATGGTACTCACTTTGTGTGGGGTATCGCACATCCACAACCATGAATTTTAAAACACCTTATTTGTGTCCTTATGTGCTTTACGTTTGCTACAGATGGAGTGCTGCCTCAGTTTTCATGAGGAAGATCTGTTTTCTTAAGACTTAACACCTTATGTTCAAAATGGACATTTCTTAACCACCTAGTCAAAACAGTAATTGCAACAATGGCTGTGATTTTTTTTACCTAATAGAGAGATTAATCTTGTAGCATTTTCATCTGAACAACATTTGTCTTTTCCCTTTGTTTTTATTGCCCAAACTAATCTTAGCAAATTGAGAAATACACTTAGTGTTATGGCAGGGAATACCTTGAATGGTTGCACCGCTGGAGATTCCCTTTCCTTAAAGTACTATAGAAAGATTAGAGGTTCTTATTTTTTAGGGAGGGAGCGTTCTCTAAAAATGAAGCCTAAACCAGAAAGAATAGAAAAAATATGTATTTGTTTTTAATTTTAAATCCAGGAGTTTCCCTACATAACTGGGAATCTTTGGTTTCAGTATACATTGTATAGTGTGTCCAGTGACACCAGCTGTGTAATAGTACCCATACATCAGTCTGTCCTCGTTTGTTTGTAGGACAACAGTGCCCAAGCCTAAATTTGTTTGGGCATAACATAATTGCTTGGTAGATACATGTAGCCATTTAAAGTGTTCTATAGAGGCTAAAGTTGCAGGCTTATAAGCCTCATTTGCAGTCCAGTGCTTAGTCCCACCAGTGCCATTTCAAAGATCATTTTATGCTATGCTAAAAATCCTGAGGCCTACACATACAATCAGTTCAAATGAGGGCAGTACTTCATGGACCAGTTTGGGGCAGTTAGGTAGCTCACAATTGCTAGCTAGATAAGTACTAAATTTGCCAGCCTACTTCCATCAGTACCCCATGTCCTTTAACTGTAAAAACAAACAAGCCCCATTTGCTGTACAGGCGCAAACTAACGCTATTCTAGTTGGATTCTAGAAGCTTCACAACTGCAGCCAAGAGGACTTATAGCCTATTTAAAGGTGACAAAACCCAGATTAGGTCAAAACCAGCTCATATTTCAAATGTAAAGTCCTGTATCTGTGCTGTTGCATTCAGTGGCAGCAAGCACACTTAGGCCTTCTAGAAGGAAAGCATTTCTACAAACTTCCCCATACCTCACACACACATACACAGAATCACACAGAATGGTTGTGGTTGGAAGGGAGCTCCAGAGATGATCTAGTCCAACCCCTCTGCTCAAGCAGGGACACCCAGAGCATGGTGGTGTCCAGGCAGGTTTGGAAGCCCTGCAGAGAAGGAGACTCCACAACCTCCTTGGGCAGCCTGTGCCAGGGCTCTGTCACCCTCACAATAAAGGTTCATATTAGCTTCATATGGAGATGAAACTTCCTGTATTTCAATTTATACCCTTTAACCTTTGTCCTGTCACTGACCACCATTGAAAAGAGTTTGGTCCCATCTTCTTTACATTCTCCCCTTAGATGCTATAATTAATAATAATTAAAAATTATAATTAATTTAAAAAAAAAAAAAAAAAGCTTTTTAAAAATCACTGTTAGTACTTCCATTTTATGGATGAAGACAACTGATCGGTAAAGTAATGAAAACCTTACCAGTAGTCCAATGGTAGACCTAAATCTTTATCTATTAACAGTCGTGAGAAGAGAGCTTTGACTTTCTGTTGGTTTAACCGTTTGCAAGCGGATAATATTCTATGGGAATGCTGATAAGAAACAACTATCATGGAAGCCCTATGGACTGCAGACGAAAACACGTTTTATTCCCAACTCAGCTCTTTTAAATTGTAAAACAGAATTCTTCCTGGACTTACATACATTACAGCCTCACAAACCTCTTTAATTTTAGATAAACACTGTTTTTAAAAGCACAATGCAATTATTTGGGGCTGAGAGGGAGAACAGTGCTTTCCCTTGCTGTTATTGCTGTTATCCACAAATACTCTGTTTTCAGAAAGTTGATCAGTAGAGCCTGACTTTTTGTTTGACTTCCTGTCAGACAAAACAGTGACTTGTGCTCATTGACAGATTAATCTTTCCTACATTTTTATATAATACCATTTCTCAAATTATTAATTTTACTGGTAGGACACTTTACCTTTTAGAGCAAAGAATTTCAAGTTGAAGGTCTTGTTTTCTATTGCTGTAAGGCTATTTTGCACATTTCTGACAAAATAAGAGGCATAAGCTATGTTACTTGTTAAGGTGCCATGTATTATTCATCAATGGTTATAGTTGTTGTTCAATATCAGGTATATCTGTCTTCTCAACATGGTAGGCATGTCTGTTTTCCATAACTTAGTCAGAACCAGAGGTCATTGTGTTGGGATGATCCAAAGGCACACTTGTATCCCCTTTAGATACTCGAGGTGAGGTCTGTAATTCCTGACTCGGTATCAGCAGTAATATAGCTATGACATGCTTTAAAAAGGCTAAAAATACCTCTGCAGCACTTTCAACAGAGGAGTACAAGGGCAATTTTTCCTGCTGAAACTTCTAATTCAAAGCAACCACAGCATTTGCTGGTAGTCAGCCCCAGACTTGGACACTAGCAAGCAGGCACTCCATCTGGATGACATTCAGCTCTGGATTTTCTACATAGGCCATCTTGGTTCTTCACAGATTGTCTCAAAGGATTCCACTCTGTGGGAAGAAAAAAAGAGACGTAGCTACTATTTTACTCCGTTGCAGTTTCAGTCAAGAGAAATACTTGAAATTAGCTCGTTTGCAAAATGGAAATTCCACTCCCCATGCACCTCTAACTGTGAGGTTTTTGTTATCAAACATTTAAGGACTTTGATATCTCATAAAAGGTACTTCCCCAAGGTACGAGGCGAGGCAAGGGTTATTGCGTTGGCAGGCGTTCCGAGCGCGTCATGGCTGCGGCATGCACAACACCCATGGCCAACCACAGTCCCAAGAAATCCTCCTTGCAGCCATGCCGAAATTCTTTGCCCACTGATTTCCTTGGGAGCACCATTATTTACTTCAGTCAGGGCAGGTTTCCACCACAAGGCTATGTTTAAGTTTCAGAAGTGCCTTTTCTCAGGTATCCAAGTCCACCTCAGTTGCAAGCTGGAGAAAATAGGAACTCACATCTTAACTCTGACAATCAACGTGTAACTTGCCTAAAGGAAGACATTTCAAGGGGCAGTTAAGGGATTGCCTGACTGCTGGGTTTCTTTTTAACATCAGTCACCCTGATTTTGGCTTAGAACCATTGGAATTAATTTTGTGGCATAAGTTACCCCACTTTTGATTCGGTCACTCAAAACCCACTAATTTAGGTCTGAATGTTTCTCCTTTGGCCAACCACGCCCCTCAAAGTTCCAGCTCCCAGGGTTATATTCTGTCTTGGTTCTCTGGGACTGAAAAGCTAGTTCACTAATCCACAGCAACACTGGCTGTGACCCTTGAGGATGCAGGTTATATTGCTTTTACTGTAGCACTGCCACTCCCCAAGCACATCTACTAGAGGAATGACTGTGTAGGGGGAAAGGCAAGGTGCCAGGGAGCAATGGCAGGTGTAGCTGGACTCCCCTTAAGGGCTCAGTGTCCTCTTGGAGTTGGAACTCAATAAAATCCATTGAGATCACCGTTCACCCCGGAAAAGTCAGAGTGCAGGCCTGTCTAACTTGTACAGGTAGTTTGGAAGGACAAGTGTAGCTTTTCCTCTACAGAGCCCCACCTTGAGAATTGCTTTTGATTTTGCTCTGAGCTTGGGAAAAAATATATATAAAAGGCAGGTGAGTCTCTCCCGCCTGTTGTTGTCTATTAGTATACTGTTCTTATCAGCTGGGTTACCTTAGCAACTAGGCTCTATTTAGCTTCACAAGCTGCCAGATTTGTTTCTTCCCCCTCAGGAGCCTGAGGAAAAACCAGGTAATGTTTAAACTGTTCAGAGACACGTTGTCTACTACTGTTTTGGTTTGGACTGTAGAACTATTGACTGCTGTAGGAAAGAGGCCATGTGAGATTCTTACCCTGCCAAAATCATGAAACATATATCTCCAGCTCCACTTTGGACTTGCTTATCCCTGCCTTAGTTTCTCAATGTGTGGCAAGTGTGGAGAATAGAGAGACACAGCGTGAACCCCACAGCTTGAAGTAAGACACAAGTAAGCCACTTCCCAACAAAAGCAATCTGGTTGCCAAAATGAAAATG